TCGGCATGGGTGAGATAAGGTCAGGGTCTATTGGGGAAACGGCATGGGGTGAGGGTATGTTTATCCTGGTTTGATTTTCTAGACTCGGAAAAGAGAAAAAAGGTTTGATACGCCAAAAAATTAAAAATAGATTACCTTGATGAGAAGTGTACCAAGAAAAAAAAACAAAAAAAACATGTAGTAATTCTTTGCGTCCAAGAAGAATTACTAATTTTTTTAACGTGAAACAGTGTTCTTGTATTTGTAAAGTGTTCACAAACTTCATCGTATTTTTATTATTGATATAATTATTTTTAGATGATCTGATCTTTGACTTTATCAGTGGATATACAATAAGTCATAAAGGATGGATTTTTTCACTTAAGATAATGAACATTTGATAAACTGTTTTAATACTTTTTTTTTTAAAGCACAATAGTAAGTTAGCTGTTTAGTGACAGGAAGTTGAATGCATAGATCATACTGTAGGCAAGGTAGCTAGTCCTGTTTAAACATCTTCCTTTATAAAATGTTTCAACATTTTTGTCTTGTTTATTTTAATCAGATCTTTGGATATGACAAAAAAAGAGAAGAAAAACAATGATCAGCTGTTTTAATCATCACAAGAAAAAAAAAAAAAAAGAAATTTTGTTGATTCACATTGCTAATAATTATCATTGGTCATATTTTTTAAGGGATTTACATCTTGATATAGGGCAATTGAGTTCATATAAAAAAATCTTTTACCTGGAATTATGTATAATGAACACCTTTTCTTTTTGTTCCAAAGGATCTAATTGTACTCCTGAAAGCATAAAGCTAATGTATTTTGTGATTGCATCCATATTTTACCAATGTTAGACAGCTAATGGATAATAAATTATGAAACAAGATGATAATAAATACATTTGCCTTTGTGCCATGACAGTATATTGACATATGCTTCATACAAGTAAAACTAACACAGTACAAATGTGTTACAGCCACAATTGTTACCTGTCATATTTCTATCATTTTTGCAATAATAAGATTTTATAAATTTTGCATTGTTTTTTACCCTGTTTTAGTAATTGTAGATGAAGCAACGGCTGTTTGTTGCAAAAAAAGTATAACATCCATGTCCTGAGTAAAATCTCAGACTTCATGTGTCTTTTTGTTTGTTTTCATTTTGATAGCAAGAGTGGGGGAAAACTGAAAATGTAGTTTCAAATGGCTTATATACATGGAAATAATGAAAATTATCTTTGATTTTACTGAATAGCATATTTAAAAATATTGATTTTTCTCAACTGTTTTGTCCTTTTTTATCAAGCTGGTTTTGAAAAGGTAAAAAAATGATGTGATATTTTGATTTTTATTGTAGTTAGCTCCATGCATTACCTATATCGGGAACATAACTTCATATTGATGCTAGGTGTAATTTGCAGATTAATGAATGTGTTATAGATAAAGGCAACACCTTTATTTTAGAAAGGGGAGAGCGAAAAGAAAGAGGGGGGAGAAGAGACAAGAGAGGAGAAAAGAGAGAAAATAGGAGAGGAGAGACTAAAGAGAATGGAAACAGGTAAGCAAATATTCTTGAAAAGGAAAAAAAGGCATAAGGAGAAATAGACAGAGAAGGCAGAGAGACAAAGAACGCGAGTTTAGACCCCGAAGCAGATGTACTTGATGTGCGTGTAGTCGTCAAGGCCGTGCAGGGAGCCCTCCTTGCCCAGACCAGACTGCTTGACGCCACCGAAGGGCGCCTCGCATGTGGACACCATCGGCTCGTTCACGCCCACCATGCCCACCTCCAGCGCCTCAGCTACGCGCCATGCCTGACCCACGTCGCCCGTGTAGAAGTATCCTGTGGGCGGGGAAGTTGGGGTTAGGGAGAGAGGGGTTGGGCTTGCATGGGCGCAGGCACACGGGTGGATTTGCTGGTATACTTGGGGTTTATGTAAATGTAAGCATTTGACTACCCCACGTATCAAGCACGCGACACACACACACACACCAACACACACAACCACACACACACACACACACACACACACCACACACACACACACACACACACACACACACACACACACACACACACACACACAAAAGTAAAAAGTAATAAATAAAAAGTGAAATACAAATAACACCATTTCCAGTCCAAATCGCAAGCCCTACCGGCCAAGCCCATAGCGGTCCCGTTGGCAAGCCGGACGACCTCTTCCTCCTCGCGGAATTTCAAGATGGCGGCCACGGGTCCAAAGATCTCCTCCTTGGCCACCGGCATATCGAGGGTGATGCCCGTGAGGAGGGTTGGAGGGTAGAACAGTCCTCCTCCAGGTTTTCCTCCTCGAACCACCTTTGCACCAGCTGCGATAGACTCGTCGATCATCTTGACCAGCTGGGAGACGAAAGAGGAGGGTTTGAGGGTACAGGGATATATATTTTTTATTTATTTATTTATTTATTTTTTATCTTCGTTATTTTCTGAGTTTTAAATTGGTGGTAATTTATAATTATAGATATTTATCGCCATTATGATAATGTGTGGAAATTAGAGGATGATTTGGCGGAGAAATATATATAAAAATTCAGGAGTTTCCGATATAGAAAAATGAAAATTACGGTGACAACTAAGAAATAACTTCAGTAACAATGATCTGACAGTATAATATATTGCAAAAGTTTTTCAATATACTTGAAAGCATTACTTATCAATCTAATTTATAAAGAAAATCGTAAAAACATAAATAAAAAACAAACTCGCTAATATTTCACATAGAAGTTCAAATATCCTACACCAAGTAAGTCATCCATTTTCTATTTAATTTAATTTTTATTCGATTAACATAATTACCCGATCGAATTGTCGCTGATTGATAATTGGTCCGTGGTTGACGCCATTTTCTAGACCGTGTCCGGACTTCAGCTCCGCGTCCATGGCTTCGGCGATTTGCTTTACGAATTCGTCATGCACAGATTCATGCACGAATATGCGGTTGGCTGCGACGCATGTCTGGTCGTGAAGGGGTGGAAGAAAAGGTGATTTTGTTTGCTGGTGATTTAATAGAGTTTAATATAATTTTAAAATAATAATAATTTAATTGTTGAAGCGGATAAAGGCATGATGGATACGAACGCTGGGCCATGAGATAGGGACAGAGAAAGAAAGGATTTTGTTTTCTTTTTTAGGAATCAAATCAAACATGAAACAGAATAACTGAAAGAAAATAGTAAAAAAATACCCCACAGAAGATCCCCTCCTCCTCTGCCCACTCAAAGAAAGAAAGGCAGAAAAAGAAAATATTGAAGAACTAAATACAAACTTCCTATGTCGAAAAGGTACGAAGGAGAACGAACATCTTCACAATACATGAGATATTCCTTCTAATTCATACCTCTTCTCCATTTGTCACAATGGATACGGTTCATTCTTCCCTCCTAAATGAAAGAGAACGAAATAAAAGGAAAAGATGAATAAATAAACAAATAAATAAATCATTCTTTCCTCCTTACCTGTCCAGCATTTCGGAACTTGGCCGCCAACGCCCCTTTCACAGCTTTTCCGACATCGGCGCTGGGAAAGACGATAAATGGCGCGTCTCCTCCTAATTCTAAGGATAACTTCTTGATAGTCGTGCCACAGCGCTGGTAGATCCACTGCAAAAAGAATAGAGTTAATGTTGAGAGTCGAGACCCGACCCGATGAATATTCGTGTATACAGACATGCATTAACAGACTTAAATGCATATCTGTCTATCAGATGTGTATTAATAGCATCTATCTATACGGTAGATATGCATGTCTAGATTGATAGATATACATTTCTTTATGTGTATATGCATGGTATAATATATGATATAGGAATTGCATATAAACAAAAATAAATACATATCACCCTAGACATGCGTATCTACCGGATAGACAGATAGATAAATGTATATCTTTCAAACAGACAGACAAATATGCATTTATTTCTTTATCTACGCATGTCCGTATATATGAATATTCGCTGGGACGGGCCTCGCACAATTTTAACAAACAGGCCCGGAAAAGTATGCGAACATAAGATAAATAATCTGGGCTCAGGAGACGAAAGATGATAGTTTAATTTTATGTAATGGAATTTAATTTATTCAATGGCAGTCTGACTTTATGTAATGATTTATAGATTCATTCTGTTTTCATTCCTTGCAAGTCCACAGTGGCTTAAAGAAATACTAATATTACCTAGCCCAGTAAATCGTATAAAAAAAGAATATATATATATGCATATCTTTCAATAAATTCAGACATCAACAATGAACCAAAGTAAAAAAAAAAAAAAAAAAAAAAAAAAAAAAAAAAAAAAAAAAAAAAAAAAAAAAAAATCGGTCTTTACTTATACAGTCGGTACTCTTCAAATCTTAAAATCTATTCAAATCTCAAAATCAACATGTACCCTTCAGTTCTCAAAATCAAAATCAATCTTTGGCTCAAATATCAGTCACCATATAAACTCTTCACAATATTTCAAACTCTTTAATTAGAAGCGTAACTTCTCAATTCCCAAAGTCAACTTTTACATTCAAATTCCAAAATCGGATTCAAATGTTGACTCCCGAATCGCAAAGTACAAATACAGACCCACCAATTTTCAAAGAACAATAATATATATATATATATCATAAAATAAAATGGGGGGTAAAGTAGACACACAACGAGCAAAAAAGTAAGTTTCCCCGAGCCACATGCTCATCCAAAACCGACGGGGCGAAACAACAGCACGGCATAAGAGGCGAGATTCAGTGAGAACCAGGTGCAGACGAAACACCTGCGCAGAAGAGCACGCTAATTTCAGGAACAACCTTATAAGTTTTACGAAAAAAAACAAAAAAACTACTCGATAAGTACCTTGGTCATCCAGAAATATAGCACAGAAATCTGCGCAGAAGAAAAGCTGTCGGTTTTTAAAATATTATTAGAAGTTAATTACCTAAGGAAAAGCCCGCCAAAACACTACCTAGGACAAACGATATGCAAGGGCTCGCCAGGACAACACGCTGTCGCCTTTTGTGTTTTTGTGTGTGTTTATTTCATTTATTAAACTTTATTAAACCTGATATGAAAAAGATAGAGGGAAATATATTAATTCCTGTATATTTACTTATAAGTAAAACACCAGAATTCAGCATTATATATCCCCCCCACCCCCGAGTTTACATTTTCCTTTGATTTTATTTACAACAGACGTGCTCTATGACTATCTAGAATTGTAACGGATATAAGATTCCACAGTAATGGCCCAAACAACCTGTTCAACACTTACAAATGATTTTTTTAATGAGAACTGATGACTGGGTCTTGTGTATATTTGCTAATTAATTTCAGTAAATACCCACGTGAACACATCTTTGTGTACGAGTAACTACATTCGTGCTCGCTCACACACACAAAACATTACATAGTTACCCTCGTCCACACGCGTACATTGCACACGCACACATACAGTAAACGTACACGCACGAGCAGATATACACGAACGCACACACATACACGCAAATGTACAGGAACGCGCACACGTAGATGTACGCACACGCACGCACGCGCACGAATACACATACACGTACACATTTGGGTACACACGCACACAACACGCACATATACATCTACACATACACGCACATGCACCCATAACACACACATACACAAACACACACACACACACAAACACACACACACACACACACACACAAACACACACACACACACACACACACACGTACACGCACATGAACTCTTCTAACTCATCTTGATCAGTGCTTTTTCATTCTTTTTCCTTATTCACTTCCGTTATTATATTTCCCTTGTATGCCAATTGCCTTGACCTTAGTCGGACCACGCATGGAAGAAAGAGAGAAAGAAAAAAAGAGTAACAATTAGGATAAATGAAACTTGGAGAAACGACCCGTAGAGTTTTCGGATAGCTTCACTCTCCTGTGGGCTGACGTCTCTAACGCCCTGTGAGACCCCGCCCATTCAGACCACGCCCACTGACACCCCACCGGCAGAGACACCGCTCACTGATACTCACGCCCACAGCGACCCACGCCCACTGAGATCCCGCTCACCGAAGACGCCGCCCATTCATACCACCCCCACTGAGATCCCACCCACAGCGACCCAGCCCACAGATACCCACGCCCACAGAGACTCCACCCACTCAAACCACGCATACAGCAACACCGCCCACTCAAACCACGCCCACAGAGTCTCCACCCACTCAAACCCCGCCCACTGACACCCACGCCCACTCACCCGCCCCACCGCCGTCGACCCGGTGAAGGAGAGAGCCTGGACCTTCGGCGAGTCACAGAGGGCGGCTCCCACGGACTGGACGCGACTCCTGGAGCACGGAAGGACATTCAGCGCTCCTGCGGGGACGCCGGCCTCTTCGCATACCTGGGCAGAGGGCGCGTCGTGTTATCCTTGTTATTATCCTGTCTTGTTATCCTTATTGTCGTCATTCTTATGGCCATTCAATTCTCATTTTTATTTTTCTTGCTACTACTGCTATTATCATTATCATCATTATTATCATCATTATCATTATTTTTAGTAGTAGCAGTAGTATCATTATCATTATCATCATATATTACTATTCTTGTAATTATCATTATTATTATTATTATCATTATCATTATCATTATTATCATTATCATTATTGTCATCTATTACTATCATTATCATTATTATCATTTACTACTATTATCATCACTATCATCATTTATTCCCATTATCACTATCCTTATTCTTTATCCTCTCCCTCCCTTCGTCTTCCCTCCTCTTACCTTGGCGAAAGCGAGGGCGGTGAGGGGCGTGTCCTCCGCGGGCTTGAGGACGCAGGTGCAGCCAGCGGCAAGGGCGGCGGCGACCTTCCTCCCGATCATGCCGATGGGGAAATTCCACTGCGGCGCCGATAGATAGGGAGATAGATAGATAAGGAGATGGATTGGGTAGGGAGAGAGATATTGGGAGGAGAGGGAGAGAGAGATTGGGAGGTTGGGAGGGAGAGAGAGGGAGAGGGAGAGAGATTGGGAGGGAGAGGGATTGGGAGGGAGAGAGATGGGAGGAGAGAGATTGGGAGGGAGAGGGAGAGGGAGAGAGAGGATGGTTGGGTGGGAGAGGGATTGGGAGCGGGAGAGGAGAGAGATTGGAGGGAAGTAGGTAGGTAGAGGGACAGATGGTAAGTTGACAGGTAGATTGGTGGATTCGTTCATTTATTCATGCACACACACACACACACACACACACACACACACACACACACACACACACACACACACACACACACACACACACACACACTCTGTACATCTAGGGAGACCAATGACGAGAGAGAAAGACAGACAGGCAGACAAACATAAATAGACAGACAGAAGTTTATTATCCAAAAATACACAAATAAAGAATAAAAAATACGAATGAACTAGAGGCACTCAGAGAGCGCATACCTCCGCCAAGGCAATAAGGCCACTGAAGCAATAAAAAAAAAAAACTCACACGAAGAATTACATTATAATCGCCTCTGTCTCCAATACACTGGTGACGTCCGTAAAAATACACTCCTTGGCGAAGATAATAAAGGAAATAATAAGGCAACAGGGGTAACTGATGCAATCCTTAAAAAAATAAGTAAAAAATCCTGGATCCAGAGCGTGATCCGATAGTTAATGGCATCTAAATTCGGCTAAGACACAACTCTGGTAAAAAAAAAATCATAAAAATCTGTTCATGACTTTTCGAGTTACGCTAACCAGCCGACTAACCAACCAACCAACAAACTAACTAACCAACGCTACCAAAAAAACGTAAAAACCTTGGCAGAGGCAATGAATGCTATTTCAGGTCTATAACAAAACATTCACAAAAAAGTGAAAATACGAAGCTAGAAGTATCAAATACATCCAAAGTAAAAACTACAGATCCCTGGATAATAAAAAAATAAATGTTGGTTTATTTAATAGTTTAGTGTTCGGGAATCTGAAAATATTTACTAAGAATATTCACCAATTCGCAAATAATATTCGCTGTAAATATTCGCTGAAAATATTCACAAATAGATATTCACTGAAAATATTTACAAATAATATTCACGAAGAATATTCGCTCTGTAGACCAAAAGAGGGGGAAAAATATTGAGATAAATGACATTTTAGTATTATGAACTCAAATTAACATCAATAATAAACGCAAAAATGATGACATCAATTTATTCATCCTTGCATCCAAACACAATTTCACAGACGATTCATATCTTCGATATCTGCAACATGCGCACAAACAGATTTATATAAAAGCAAATCTATAAACAAAGAATTAAAAAGAAGAAAAAAAGAAAAGGAGAAAAAAATATATATTTGTATAGGAATGTGTATATTATAAACTGTCAATTTTACACTTTTACGAATATTTTGCTCTGGGCCTGAAGTTGTATTTTTTAATTTGGATTTCTGAATCTTCATATGAAAAAAGAATAGACAGCTAGGCAGGTACATTAAATTAATTAACAAACATATAAAACAGGCAAAATTCATAAATAAACAACAACAAAAATAACAACAAAATACAGTCAGATTCATTAATGAACAACAACAAAATACAGGAAAGTTCATCAATAAACAACAACAACAAAGAAACATACAAATTCATTAATAAACAACGACAAAACAACAAAACGGCAAATTCATTAATAAACATCAACAAAAACAACAAAAACAAGCAAAATTCATTAATAAACAAAATAAAAACAGGCTAAATACATCATTAAACAACAAAAAACAACAATCAGACAAACTCACTAATAAACAACAACAACAAAAAAACGCCCCCCAAAAAAACCACGTACGGGCATGATAAGAGCAGCGACGCCCCCTCAAAAAACTAAAACAACAACAATACAGTCAAACATTAATAAACAACAACAACAAAAACAAGAATAACAAAACACAGGCCGATTCATTATTTAACAACCACAACAACAAAAAAACGCCCCCCCCAAAAAAAACCACGTACCCCCTCAAAAAACTAAAACAACAACAACAACAATACAGTCAAACTCATTAATAAACAACAACAAAAACAAGAACAACGAAATACGTCAAAATAAACAACAAAACAACAAAAGTACGGGCGTGATGAGAGCAGCGACGCCCCCTCAAACTAAAACAACAACAACAATACAGTCAAACTCATTAATAAACAACAACAAAAACAGAACAAAAATACAGTCAAACTCATTAATAATCGCCCCCCAAAAAACCCACGTACGGGCGTGATGAGAGCAGCGACGCCCCTCAACTAAACTAAACTCCAACAACTGCCCCCCCAAAACCCACGTACGGGCGTGATGAGAGCAGCGACGCCCCCTCAAACTAAAAGACGTCAAACTCATTAATAACAACACAAAAACAAAAAACGCCCCAAAACCCACGTACGGCGTGATGAGAGCAGCGACGGTCACTCATTAATAAACAACAACAAAAACAAAAAAAACCCGCCCCCCAAAAAACCCACGTACGGGCGTGATGAGAGCAGCGACGCCCACTGGCTGCCTGACGGTCACCAAGCGCTTGGAGGGGGCGGGGCTTGGGATGGTCTCGCCGTACTGCCTTCGACCCTCCTCGGCGAACCACTCGAAGAAGGAGGCTGCGAACCCGACCTCCCCCGCGGCCTCGCCCTTGGGTTTACCCTGGGGGAGGAGGGGAGGGGAGGTGTGAGAGGGAGGAGGTGGATAAGAGAAGGATGGGGATAAAGAGAAAGAGAGAAAGAGAAACAGAGAGTGAAAAAGGAGTAGAAAATGAAGCCGACCTCCCCCGAGTGTCGTCCTTGGGTTTACCCTGGGGGAGGAAGGGAGGGGAGGTTTGAGAGGGAGTCATTGGATAAAGGAGTATAAAAGAAGGATGGAGAGAAAGAGAAAGAGATAAAGAGAAATAGAGAGTGAAAAAGGAGTAGAAAATGAAGCCGACCTCCCCCGAGTGTCGCCCTTGGGTTTACCCTGGGGGAGGAAAGGAGGAGAGGTGTGAAAGAGTAGGTGGATAAAGGTGGATAAAAGAAGGATGGAGAGAGAGAAAGAGATAAAGAGAAATAGAGAGTGAAAAAGTAGAAAATGAAGCCGACCATCCCGGGTCTCGCCCTTGGACTTACCTTGGGGGGAAGAGGGAAGATTTAAGAGGGAGTAGGTGGATAAAGGAAGGAGAGGAAGGCAGGTGGAGAGGGAGTAGTTGGATAAAGGTGGATAATAAAAGGAAGGAGATATTTTGAGAACGAAAAAGTAGAAAATGATGCCGAACTCCCCCAGGTCTCGTCCCCTGGACTTAACCTGGGGGAGGAGGGGAGGACAGGTGGGGAGGGAGGAGGGGGATAAAGGTGGATAAAAGAAGGAAAGAGAGAAAGAGGAAGAGATAAAAAGAAACAGAGGACGAAAAAAAGTAGAAAATGATGCCGATCAGTTGGATAAAGGAAGCAAAAAGTGAAAGGAGGTGGAAAGGGATTATTTGGATAAAAGAAGGAAAGAGAGGAAGAAGATTGAAGGGAAATAATAAAATGAGGAAACAAAAAGAGAGAGAAAAAGAAAACAGAGGGAATTGATTATAAGAAAGAGAGAGAAAGAGAGAGAGAGAGAGAGAGAGAGAGAGAGAGAGGAGAGAGAGAGAGAGAGAGAGAGAGAGAGAGAGAGAGAGAGAGAGAGAAAGAGAGAGAGAGAGAAGAGAGAGAGAGAGAGAAGAGCAGAATAAAGAAGAAAAGGGACACGAAAAAGAGATATTAAAAATGATCCGAATTCCCCCTGGTCTCATCATTGGCCTTACCCTGGGGGGGGGGGCAACAGAAAGAAATGGAAAGGATAAAGATAAAAAAAACTAGACATTTTTAGTGTAAAGGAGAAAAGAAAAGAAAAGATGGAAGAGACTGATTATTAGGAAAAGGAAAAATAATGAAAAGAGAGAAAGAAAAAAACAGGAAAGAGAGAACATTTCAGAATACCTTTGTGGGATTAGTTTGAAAAATAAAGAAAAATGAAGAAAAAACGAGAAGAGGAAACGAAAACGCGAAGAAAATTTTAAAATCTAAAAATTCAAGAATGAAAAATAGATTAGGTAAGAAGAAAGATAAATAAGGAATTAGAATTAAGTAAAAGTTGACTAAAAAGAAATATTCATAGCATGAACCATTTAAGAATGCCCGGAAGAAGGTAGGGATGTTGATAGATAGAAATATAGATCGGTATATAAATAGATATATAGAAAAACAAGCAAACAGAGGCAGATATAAAATATACACCGACAACGAGAAACAAAAAACAGAGAAAAACAGAAATTAAAAAAAAGAGAAAAGTAAATATTCCTCCATAGAAAATAAGATATCCCTCCGTGTTTACATTCTCCCTGGTGAGGATGGTGGCGATGGCGTCCTTGTTGTTGTTGAGGCCGTCCCTGATTCGAAGCAAGATGGCGGCGCGTTCTTTGGGGCTCGTGAGTCGCCAAGTCTTGAAGGCTTCGGAGGCCGCGTCTGGGGAGGAATTGAGAGTTAAATTTTAGGATTCTTAATTGGTATTAATTTATGTATGTATGTATATGTTAATTCTTTGGTCTATGTTTTTGTATGTAGGGTTTAGTGTATATTCTTTTGGGTGCCTGAGGCGTCAACTTTTGAAGGCTTCCGAGACGCGTCTTGGGAGGAATTGAGTTTCTTTAATGCTAAATTGGTATTAATTTACGTACATATTTTATAGTTTTTTTTTTCAAGTATATGTTTTATTATAGAGGTTTTAGTATATAGTTCCTAGGGGGTATGCGAGAAGGCCTCCGACACTGAAGCTATGGAGAATTTTTTCTTTTAATGGTTATTTGATATTAATAAATATTTTTGTGTGTGTTTTAGTGTCTGTTTTAATATATATGGTTTAGTATATAGTTCTTATGTTTTATTTACTAATCATTTATATATTTTTAGTTTTTATAGTATATGTTTTAGTATAGTAGTATATAGTTCTGTTGAATGCTTCCATAGACCTCGTTTTGTGGGAAAATAGTATCTTTATTTATATTTCTTTTTATTATAGATAGATAGCTTCTGTATTATGTTATAATGGATTTATGTGGTTTTATGTATTTTTTCATCCTATTATTTCTTATTTTCACTCTGGTCTATCCTTTATCATTTAACAACGCCCGGAGCGAAATATGTATGTGAAAATGTTATATATATAATTATATATTATATATATATATATATATATATATATATATATATATATATACATATTGTCCTTTATTATTTCCAGTGCTTGGTTCATCTTTTATCATTTTTTGTAATCATTTGGAGGCAGTAATTATTATTAGTATCTTTATTATCTTCATTATTATCATTATTCTTATTATTACTATTTTGTTGGTGTTGATATTATTGATATAATTAGCATAATGATAATAATGACTATTACTATTATCATAATCATCATTATCACTATTATTATTTAAATTATTGTCATTGTCGCTATTACAGTCATTATCATCACTGATATCATCTAAAATTGCATAATCATTTCCTATTAAAGGCCTTTTATCTCAACTGCAATAGGCATTTTCTTTAATCTTTAAACCTATTTCATTTCAACTTGAAAACCTATTTTTAGAAGGTATTAAACCCTACTTAATCAAAGAATTAACCCTTATCACTGCCCTTACATCGATATCGTTATCATTATTATTACCATTACCATCATCATCATCCCCTTCATCACCACCACCATTATCTCACCTTCATCATCACCATCCCCATCATCATTTTCATCGTCACCATCCCCATCACCATTATCATCATCCCCATCCCCATCATCATCATCCCCATCCCCATTATCATCATCATCCCCATCCCCATCATCATGACCACCATCACCATTCCCATCATCATCATCATGACCACCATCACCATCCCCATCACCATCAATCCACTCACCCACAGCCGCCGCGACGTCCTCGGGGGTGCAGTCGGCCACCCGGGCGATTTCGGCTCCGTTGGCGGGGTCGTAGACGGGGAAGGTGCCGCCCCCGCCCGCCCTCCAGCTGCCCGATATGTAGGCTAATGTGGGCGTGGCTTGGCTCATGGTGCTTGGCTGGTGGGAGAAGGAGGAAGGAAGGAGAGGGAGGGAAGGGAGGGAGGGGAGGGAGGAGAGGGAAGGGTGGGGGGAAGGAGGAAGGGAGGGTGGGAGAGAAGGAGGGAAGGAGGGGGAGGGAAGGGAGGGATAGGGGGGAGGGAGAAGGAAGAAGGAAGAAGGGAAGGAGAGGGAAAGGAGGGAAGGAGGGAAGGAGGGGAAAGGAAGTGGAGGGCATGGGTGGAGGGTGTGGTGTGGTGGGGAGGAGGGGAAGGGAAGAGAAGGGAACGAAAGGTAGGGGAGAAGGAGGAAGGGGAGGGAGAAGGAGGGAAGGGAGGGGGGGAGGAAATGAGGGGAAGAAAGTGGAGGGAGAGGAAGAAAGGAGGGGAAG